GTGTGTGTGTGTGTGTGTGTGTGTATGTATATATATATATACATATATACATGTATATATATATCTCACATCTTCTTTATCCATTCATCGTGGATTTCATTTCTTAGCCCAAAAACTCCTGTAAGAAAATGAACTTGAGAGTCCTTTAGTTTACTGCTTCAGCTGTATGTGAACAAAGACTAGAGAAAAGTATTTTATTGTGTTAACTATTATTTCATTGTCAAAAGGATAATGATATTGAAATCTTTATTTGTAGGACTAAGAAATTGCTGAGTTAGACCTCAGTTGGCTAATAACTAGAGTTTTAATTATTTTTTTCCAAAGATGAAAATCAATTTTAACATTTGGTTTTGCTGTTCACAATATTGGATGTTTGACTAGGAGTTTTTCAGAAACTTTTTTTTTTTTGCATCTTCTTTATTTATAAGGTAACTGCAAATAAAATCTAACAAAGTACAATTTAAGAAAGTATTGTTTAGGGGCACCTGGGTGGCTCAGTCGGTTGGGCGACCGACTTCGGCTCCGGTCATGATCTCACAGTCCGTGAGTTCGAGCCCCTCATCGGGCTCTGTGCTGACAGCTCGGAGCGTGGAGCCTGTTTCAGATTCTGTGTCTCCCTCTCTCTCTGACCCTCCCCCGTTCATGCTCTGTCTCTCTATGTCTCAAAAATAAATAAACGTCAAATAAAAAAAAAATTAAAAAAAAAAAGAAAGTATTGTTTAATTTCAATATGATGACTGGTACAGATCTGCAAGAAAATTAACTTTCATTCATTATGTGACTTTCAAAATGTACGTTATTATTTTGTAAAAAGCAAACCAAAATTTTGAGGTTAAATGACTTACCTGAGATCTTGTACCAAGATGCTCTTCTAGAGAGCAGAGTTTTTAACTTCCAGTCAACGAGTTAATACATTTTGATTAATAAACATGTAAGAAAATAAGTACTATATTAGTAGGATATAATTATTGCAATTACTAATTATTACTATATTATGATAGTACATTTTAATATGCTTATATTACTAAGTATACTTAACATAAATATGGTAGAATAAGATAGAAAATCAGTGTACTACATTATAATTTTTTCTGCTACTTTTGTTTTGATTGGTTCCTCAAATGTGCACAAGCATTAGTTAAATTGACCTACAGATTCAATTCAAATTATCTGAAAAAAGCACTTCCATATTGCTTATATTTGTTATAAAATGCTAAGAATAAGATGCATCCACAATATACATAAATAATAATATAAATAAATTCTCTGCTATTGAGAAACTATTTTTAAGTAGGTGTTAAACAAGTAAACTTTACACAAAGTTGACATATGCTAATGTTTAGTTTTTATATGCACTTCCACGTAATTTTTACATAGAAGGTAATCTAAAATTAAATGAAAAATTTCCAATATGGCCAAAAGCCCAAATGCTTAAACCGTACGTTAGATAACTAAACATAGATGTGTGAAATGAAACTCCAGAAGGGATGATGGACTTTGACGCTTTGTGGGCCTGCTGTCATTGGCATGTGGGCCACATTTCCATGCTGGAATTTCTGTTTCTGCAGATGTATATACTGGTTATAAATAATCACAGGGTCTCTGTGCAGTGTAAGGCCAAATGTACACATATTTGGGTTCCACAAAGAAAAAGTTTAAATCTTGTTGCAGAAAATACTGTTCTCAAGGGAGTTCAATTTATTTTTACTATTGAAAATCACACTTTGAAGAATGCCATGGCCCCAGATCAAGGAATGTTTCTTCCTAACCATGTTGTTTGCACTGGA